ACATCCTCTTTGAGGTTCCCGTTAAGGAAAGCCGTCTTGACGTCCATCTGCCAAATTTCGTAATCGTAATAGGCTGCAATTGCAAGCATTATCCGAATGGATTTCAGCATAACAACTGGAGAAAAGGTTTCATCATAGTCAATTCCGTGGATTTGTCTATAACCTTTTGCTACCAATCTAGCTTTGAAGGTATAAACCTTCTCGTCTACCTCTGTCTTCTTTTTGAAGATCCACTTGCATCCAATGGGTTTTACCCCTTCGGGCGAATCAACCAAGGTCCAGACTTGGTTTGTGTACATGACTCCATTTCAGATTTCATGGCTTCGAGCCATAGATCGGATTCGGGGCATGTAATTGCCTCGAGGTAGGTCTCTGGTTCGCCTTGATCTACCAACAAGACGTCACCTTCATCAGACATGAGAAATCCATATCTGACCAGAGGATTACGTATCCGGTCTGACCTACGTGGTAAATCTTGAGAAATTTGAGGTTCAATTGCTTGATCTCTTTGCTCAGGTTCCAACACTATCGGGACTTCTTCTTGTGGTTCTCGATTTTCTTCGAGGTCTACCTTTCTCCCACTAGTGATAGCAGAAAGAAACTCCTTCTCAAGGAAGGTTCCATTCCGAGCAACGAAAATTTTGTTATCGGATGGATGATAGAACTCATACCCTCTAGTTTCCTTGGGGTATCCCACAAAAATTACTTTATCAGATTTAGGCTCCAACTTACTAGACATCATGAGACGTTTTACATAAGCTTCACAGCCTCAAATCTTAAAGTACGAGAAACTCGGTTTTCTCCCACGCCATAGTTCGTATGGTGTGCTCTCTACAACTTTAGATGGAACTCTGTTGAGTGTGTGTGCTGCTGTTTTCAATGCATATCCCCAAAATGATTCTGGCAATGTTGTCAGACTAATCATGCTCCGGACCATGTCTAGCAAAGTCCGATTTCTCCTCTCAGACACTCCATTTAACTAAGGTGTCCCCGGAGGAGTCAGTTGGGATAAAATCCCATGCTCTTTCAGATAGTCATCGAACTCCAGGCTTAAGTATTCACCTCCTCGATCCGAGCGGAGGGTCTTCATACTTTTGCCTAATTGTTTTTCTACTTCGTTCTTGAATTCTTTGAATTTGTCAAAGCATTCCGATTTATGTTTCATGAGATACACATATCCATATCTACTAAGGTCGTCAGTAAATGTAACGAAGTAAGAATAACCACCTCTAGCTACAGTGCTAATTGGACCACACACATCGGAGTGTATGAGGCCCAATAAGTCACTCGCCCTTTCACCGTGACCGGACCGGTGAATGGAGCCTTTGTCATTTTACCAAGTAAACAAGATTTACATACATCATATGACTAGAAGTCAAATGAATCAAGTACACCTGAGCGATGTAACTTAGATATGCGTTTCTCGTTAATGTGGCCCAAACGACAATGGCATAGGTACGCAAGATTCAAACTGCTAGGTTTGTTTCTCTTAACATTTACGTTATATATTGTGGTATTCATGTCAAGGACATAGAGACCGTTGGTCATTTTTGCACTTGCATAAAATATATCATTTCTAAAGACAAAGAGTTTTGTCTTTTACAACGAATGAAAATCCTGCTTTGTCAAGGCAGGATACAGAAATGATGTTTCTGCTCATACTAGGTACAAACAGACAATTATTCAAATGCAATATAAGACCACTAGGTAGAGATAAACTATAGGTTCCGACGGCCAATGCATAGACGAGTGCGCCATTGCCGACTTTTAGTTGTATCTCTCCCTCCATCAATTGTCTACATTCATGCAAGTTCTGCATAGAAGTACAGATGTGAGAACCACATCCAGTATTATCACCCAAGAGGTGATATCAGACATATTGACTTCGATAACGTAAAATCCTGAATTTTGGGGCTGACCCTGGTAAAGGTCTCTTAAGCATTGTATCATAGGACGCACTTCCATGTCCGTGTGGAGCCTTTGGAGCTCCGCGGTCATACTGGCCATAATGATACACTTTACATCTCGCGCGTCGTCCTCATACTTCTTGAAGGAAGTGAGTTCGAACGCACGAGCATCAGCATCAGGGGTCTTGGGAGGATCCGTTTCGAGGATGTAGAGTTTCCTCTCACGGTCAAGAACGATCCGGAGGTTCATCTCCCAGTCAAGAAAGTTGGTCCCGGATAACTTGTTGTTTTCCAGGATGTAACGCAGGTTGAAAGGGTTGTTGTTGTTTGCCATCTATAGAAAATTTTGCAAACTAGGTTATCTATCATGTTTAATAATTAATTATCTCCCACTATTTTTAACAAATCAATAACCCTCGATATTGATTCGGAGATTTCCGGTGAAACCTCTAGTGGGTCAAGATCCATATTTCATTATCTTGTGTTCCGCTTGGGCGTTACTCCACAAGACAACTATTTAGGTAGGAACATAGTTCCAACTGATGAGCCGGGCTCTCAGCTCTTGATCTGGTGTTGGGCAAACAATATTACTACAACCGTACCAGGACACCTTTTCACCATACTTGTAATTGGCTGAAGCACGTCTTACAAGCAGACTACTTTGGTTAGGAACAGAGTTCCAATTAAATCATAAAGATCCAACTCCTGGCTGGATGAGTGAGTAAAATCATCCGACTTGTTATTGATGACCCCAACTTACTGCCTCTGAGTCGTCCATCCATTTGACCGAGACTCAGTTAAGTCTAACCCAACGTGCGACAGCGACCACACTATGGCGGTTCCCGTAACCAGCTTAACATACACCGTACTATGCTCTGCTGAGGCTGAGTACATGACAGTGCACATTAGCCGGATAGGTGCCGGGCGTCAGAAGGCAACAGACTTAATATTCGTGAGGGATTTATAATTTCGATCTCACCTATCGACATGGCCGCGCACATGTCCATTACTAGCGTTGAACATACAATCAACATACATTTACAAAACGCAATAAATAAACGTGTAATGATTGTGGCCCCCTAAAAAAACGATAGCTCCCACTAGCTTCCGGGCACTTGAACTTCGGGCTATCTCCATTCTTTTAGATTTCTCCAAATGGTCATCAAAACTTTTCGTCTTCTAACCACCACGTGAGAAAAGAGTCCTCGGTTGAGGTAAGAGAGAGAAATAGATTTACAACAAGAGTTTAAGAGATAAGACACGACACGCAGGCCGTATTATAATCAAATAAACTATAGCCACAATCATCCACCATGCATATCATACATCCACACAAGCAATAGAGATATACATACACCGGGTGAACCGCGCTCACCCCAGACAGTTCTAGAAAAATACTACGGCAGTAAATATTTTCTAAAACTCATAAAATTAAATTAGATGTCCAAATAAATCAAATAAAATTTTATAAAATCATTTTATATACTCTAGATATTCTTCCAGCATAAAAAAAATATCCAGAATATTCCAAATGACCAAAATGCCCTTTTTGCAAAATTATATTCAAAAAGGCCATTAAAATTTTGAAACAATTTTGCAAAAATCATGAAAATTAAATTTCAACTTCCAGTAATTATTTTCAACATTTATAAACCTGGAAATAAAATTTCCAAAATTTATAAATCATTATTTCCAAAATATATTAGTTAAATCTCAATAAGTTATAAAAAGCCATTTAAATTGATTTCGAAAATATTAAATTACAAAAATTTAATATTTTGAAAACAATTCTTTTTCTTACTGAGATATAACTTTCCAAAATATATATTAGTCATTTATGTAATTAAAATACAAATATATAAATATATATAATATTTCGGTAATAAAACCGAGTACATATATAAATATATATTTATTTAATTACTAACTAATATTATTTTGAACAATATATTTATCAACAACCTTATTCAACTTAGAAATAATATTTNAAAATTATATTCAAAAAGGCCATTAAAATTTTGAAACAATTTTGCAAAAATCATGAAAATTAAATTTCAACTTCCAGTAATTATTTTCAACATTTATAAACCTGGAAATAAAATTTCCAAAATTTATAAATCATTATTTCCAAAATATATTAGTTAAATCTCAATAAGTTATAAAAAGTCATTTAAATTGATTTCAAAAATTTTAAATTACAAAAATTTAATATTTTGAAAAACATTCTTTTTCTTACTGAGATATAACTTTCCAAAATATATATTAGTCATTTATGTAATTAAAATACAAATATATAAATATATATAATATTTCGGTAATAAAACCGAGTACATATATAAATATATATTTATTTAATTACTAACTAATATTATTTTGAACAATATATTTATCAACAACCTTATTCAACTAAGAAATAATATTTCCAAGTTTAATAAAGTTCATTTTGAATTTTCTATATTTATTTTTGGTTTTCACCTAAATAAATACAATAAATTCAAAATAGGAAATAATGCATTCAAAAATTACAATATAATTTTATAAATCATAAAATGATGTTTTATGTCCAAGTAAAATTATATTTACTATTTCTACAATATATATAAATATATATTTCGAAAAATCAAAATATATATATTTATATATATACTACGGGTAGAAATAAAATAAATAAATTTAAAATACATTTTCAATGATTTATTTAAGTCCAATACTTATTCCAAGACTAAATAAAATCATTTTACCAAATTTTGAATTTTAATAATTACCAAGTTAAAACTTTGACTTTTAAAATTTTAAAAGACAAACGTAAAACTATAGTTTTGTACGTTGGCTTTGATACCACTAAAAGGTAACCATGCAAGGATAGGGAGCGAAATATAAAAATTTTAACATCCTAACATGATTATCTTGCCCAGAATCACGTACTAAAACTTATAGTAGTAAGAAATTTATACCTTTCTCCGTAAGCGGTAAAAACAAAGAAGTCATAGGAAGAGCGTTGAAAGTGCGAACATAACCGTTCAAGCGTCCAGTCTCCAACTTTGACACACGAACAATGCCGGAGTCTACCACAATCTTTATGCTAGTAAAGATTATAGTAGTATAAAATATAAAGATTAAAATTTGGGATAATAATAATCTTGTATATTTCTATAGAAAATATTTCCAATAATATTTAGAAAATATTATAGATATTTTCTATACACAAAATGATATTAATGGAACATAAAAGAAATTTTCTCTCACAAGAAAATTATGACCGAACAACACCATAAAAATTGAAATCATAATGAAAGGCTAATGGTGTGGTGTTTTAAATAAAAACAAAGATGCTCCATTATTTTTGTCATTAGCTAAATGACAAAATTAATTAGTCCACAAATTATCAATCAAGCAAATTAAAACCAATTTGTCAACCTTTAAGATGATATGGCCGAAAGTTTGATTGTAAAAAGTGAGAAGGATTCTTGAAATCTTTCTCCACTTAAATGTTCAAAGTGTATTTTATTTGACACCAAAAATTAATATAAAATTAATTTTAAATCAAATAAAAATACCCATATCATTTTAAACAAGTATACAAATATACTTTAAATAGTTTATGTCAAAATAATTATTTTCATAATTAAAATGACAAACCAAAATAAAATATTCAACATATAATATATATATATTTCGGTATTTATATATATAAATGTATCACCGAATGTTTTACATATATATAATATTATATTCCAAAATATTTTATTTTACTATTTTACAAATATACAAATTACTTATTATCCCATTGTTTAATCCTACTCCTTAAATTGTTCAAAGTGTGTGACCCGTATAGACACTTCTAAAGCTGGCCACAGTATTGGCTCTGCACCAATACTATAAGCAATAAGCGGTATCTAGCAACACATTATTGCCCCCAGATTATAAGTTAAGACGTTTGCACCGTCAAAACCTTTCCACGACTCAGACTCCGTGTAACTGTATCCCTTTGTCTCAATGTCTAAACTTAATGCAAGGGATTAATAAAATCCAACTTGTATCCATTAAGTCATTCACTGATTTATCAAGTCTGACTAATAGGAACAGACGTCATAAAA